AAAGACTTTCTCCGACCATCACAGCTGGAAGCTAATAAGCTGCAGTCAGTCAGCAGAGTGACATTTAAATGGTAGCTAGGCTAGGCTAATGATTACAGAGATGTCTCTGTTTAGATTAATTACAAACTTGACTCTTTATTTATCAACAGCAATACTGTTAGGAAGGAATCTTAGAGGGTTAGGCTTAAGTTAGCTTTCTCTGAACTTGTTAGCATGTTAGCAATGACCTGGAAAGCTGATCTTCACAAAATGACTACTGAGAGGGAGGTGTCAAAGATTGTCTTTCTGAGCGATAACAATTTATATAATGCTGTTTGTGAAGTGGTCATTTACTGCTGAACATAATTTGTCCGTGAGTTTATGACAGCGGTCTCATGTTTGACCACACTGTTTTCTTACTTACAAAGGACCAAGAGAGTCCTTAAGTTAAAAAAGGTCACTCAGCCTGCATTGGGACACAGCAGGAACATGATGGACAAATCAGATCTCCAGATGTAAAAAGTGAAAAAGTAAAAAGGGAACAATCCCAAAATATATACTTATGGTACGAAATATGATCCAGATAAAAAATGAGCAACTCAAACAACATGTGACCGAAACACTCGGTGCTATAGAAGAGCTAGAAACCAACGCCAAGCTGCAAGGATTCGCCAAGAAATAATTTGTCCGTTCAGCCATGCTTGGACGTTATCTACGTAGGTCAGCGGTATCAAACGTACGGCTCGCGGGCCAAAACCAACCCGTTAGGGGGTTCAATCTGGCCCCATAATGAATTGTGAAAGTGAACAAAATGCACAAAGACTTCATGTTGGTGATGTTCATGGATAATAATGAATATTTTCTAATATAATTTTAGACATTTGCAGGAAAACAAAGGGGGAAAAACATGGACTTATTGCTACTTCTAGGTAATTATGTGATGATTGTACTGGTCCGGCCCATTTGAAATCTAACCTGCTGTATGTGGCGCCTGAACCACAATGAGTTTGACAGACATCAGACATGATCTCTGTCTTTATCCTATCTGTCCGGCTGTCTGTCCATCCATCTATCTATCTGTATATGTACATATATATGTATACATATAGATTCCCAAATTTGGGGGGCACAGAGTTCAAATGTATTGAATTTATTTTTAATTTTTAAATTGTGACACAATGGGAAAATTCACTGATTTGTTTTTTTTTTTTTTGGATTACCACTGTTTTATAAAAGCTCATTGGAGTGCTATCAAAGCTAGGGGGTGCTGCAGAAAATGTTTAGGAAACACCTACTAGCTAAGTATTCAAATGCCCCGCGGGTGAGTTTCCAGGCATTGTTGACCCTCCTCTCTCGGCCTGAACCCCCTCCCCCATAAGTCCTTTCCTAAATCCCCGCATTCTTTCATTTCTTTCACAGCAATGTGAGAGTCTGTGTCCCTGCTCTGCCACTCTCTCTGTCAGATGGGTGAAAAGAGTAAGTCCTCAAAGCACTGACAGAGAAAGTCATCACAACAGGGTGGAGGACTCGTGATGGGCCTGTTTAGTGCAGATGATTTCATCGACCGGCTCAAAGTGGAATGTTTTGTTCCTCCCTTTATTTTTCAGACCAATTTAATGCAAAAAAAAAAAAATCTCCTTCTGTTTAACCGCCCAATTACCCTTTTGTATGTTTTAATTTTTTTGTTACATAAGCCATTTTCTGTCTTCTCATCCCTGATTGCGTTAAGAAATTGGCTTTTGAGTATACACTGAGCACTTTTTTTCCCCCACTGATTGCGTTAAGAAATTGGCTTTTGAAAATGGTAACCTTTTACACTTGTGTAATACGTAATAAATGTTCTACTGCTTTGAGCAGGATTTTCCTGGCAACATAATGATAATGATTTAATATTTAAAGACACAGCAACTGCAATTAAGGCTGTATTTTGTTGCACATATATATCTCCATATGTAACGCAGAGAAACAACACGCTGTACCCAGTCACATTCATTTTTCCAGTACTCTATAATCTATGGTTCGATAGTACAGCGGTTAGCACGCATGCCTTACTTGCAGATGGTCCTGGGTTTGAGACCAAATATCCTTAATAGCGTAAAAACAGTAGCGGCTTAAGGTCCGGAAATTACTGTATTTACGGTAATATCATCTGGGCAAAACATTGCGTTACCGGGTTTTATACGTCTACGTTCCAAGAACAGCACTTCACTGAATTGAGGAATTTTACCTCATTTCTGACATGTGTAAGGAAATCACAGTAGGGCTGATGTGACTTTGTTATTCTCGGCATTATCCTTCCCAATATTACACAATTATGCTAATAATGGTCGATAATACTGACGCATATTAGCGGACATCCCAAGCTAAACTTACAATAAGAACGACAACTAAATGTACAAAAAAGTAATATGTCTACCTTCCAAGAACAGCACTTCACTGAATTGAGGAATTTTACCTCATTTCTGACATCAAGAAAATCACAGCAGGGCTGATGTGACTTTGTTATTCTCGGAGTTTGTGACCGAGCATGTAGACCAGCGGTGTGAAACTCATTTTGGTTCAGGGGCCACATATGGCCTAATAAGCTGTGAAGTGGGCCGGACCAGTACTACCTTACTACCTTAAATAACAGGAAGTACATGTTTATTCCCCTCTTGTTTTCCTGTGGTGAGTATATTAGAAAATATTCATATTTAATGAAATATAATTTGATAAATCATCACCAACATGCAGTGTTTGTGCATTTTTTTCACTTTTAAAATTCATCCAGCGGGCCGGATTGAGCAACCTATCGGACTGGTTTTGGCCCGCAGGCCATATCTTTGACACCCAATATGTTTTGATGTAGACTTAAACACACTATGACAGGAGTTCAACTAACAATTATCTTTAATAATGACTTTTATGCTCCTAAAAAAGCCAAACTAAAGTGTGGTCATTGTTTTCAAGCTGCAAAAAGCGTAGTCATTTCGACAGCAAGAACCTGTTGACCTCGCAGCGGCAGACATGCACACACAAGCATACACGCATACACACACCTTATAACCATACTTGAGTGTATTCCCTCAACCACCCAGGGCCTTCTGTCAGGCCTACTCAGCGGCTTCTTTCATCCCTTCACCAGCGGGATCTTTTGAAAAAAAAAACAGCTTTACACTATCTCAGTCTGCTCCAAACATACCCGAAGGACTTTATACCTGGGGTTAGCCCCCGTTCCCCCACCCACCCACGCACTTAACACCCGGCACCCTACCTGCCCGTCCTGCTGTTTTAAAGCCCCGTTTCCGCACTTTTGTGCTGAATCAGGAGCAGAGAGCCATGATTAAGGGTTAAGCCCAACACAGTAGCTCTTTCATCTTTCTACACAGTGTGCAATTTGGAGAGCGTCAGACACGCGAGGTATAAGTGCATCATAAAACGCGGCAGTAAAGGCAGCAACAGGTCTCCCATGACCAGTGCTGACTCTCTGTTATTGTACTTATTACACAGATACCTGGCGCTTCTCCACAGCCCACGGTGTGGACGGCGTGGCGGTGAAGGATGTGCTCGAACACCTGCTCTCAAATGTATACATGACGGAGTAAAGTTTCTGCTAAAGGTGTAGAATACTCTGTATTATTATATTTATTTTAAGGTGTAATGAGCTTAGCTGTTTGATGACAGTCTTTTCCTACTAAGGACATTATGTTACCATCAAATGTTTTAAACTAGAGGTGCACCAATTGACCAGTCAATGAATTGAATCAACCTTTACTATATTAAAGCAGGGGTTCCCAACTTCTGGTTCGGGGACCGGTGCCAGTACCTATGCCATGTGGTACCGGGCCACAGTGGGACGCAGTGAAAGTGTACTTCAGTTTTACTTCATTCCAAAAGACTCCAGTCATATCCCTTTACTTTTTTCATTCAAATATAATCTGTCAATGTTTCAAAACAACAGGTCAAAGGTCATTCAGACTCTGATACTGACAGAATAAAGGCTAAAAGATGTTTGATATAGAAAATCCAATGATCCTTCAACGATGGCGTAGCATTACGGTACGGTCCGTAGTAATGGCTGATACCGGCCAACTTGGTACAAAACGTTGGTGTCCGCTGCTTAACATACCAAGTACATTACTAGGAGATCTCCAAACTGGCTATTTGTAATATATGTAACAGTAAAACATTTGCGTGTTAAACATGTTTCAGCCGACGAAAAGTCATTCAGATCATTCAAGCTAATCCAACACCTAAAACATCATCATCCAGCCTAACTAAGATGGATTTTTATTTTAAATTACAAAACAAGAGTAAAAACCAGGTCACGCATTTGTTCTCATTTCTTATAAAATCAGTATAATTTTTTATCGGCAAGTCACATTTAATAAAAACGCGTGAATGGACAAAACAAAAACTGCAATTGGTGCTTCTCTAGTTAAAACTCTTGTAAGATTCTGCTCAACCAAAAAAGACAAAAAAAGAAGGCTGCTTCAGTGACGTCACAGCGCATCACAACAGCCAACAACCATTCTTACTTTCACCACCCACTGAATTGACCCAGGGGCTCAACTTGGACTATTTTTCTGTGCAACGCCTGTTCCATTAAAAATGGGCTTTGCATTTGACAATGTAGGAATATAAACTGTCTGATTTTAAGGAACGTTAAGATTTTAACTCAGAACATCAAACGTGTGAAGACACGTCCGTCACGCCAAGTCTACCCAACCAAACGACTGAAACCTGTTATTGAGGATTTAAAGATATTTTAAATTAAGTTAGTATAAGTTAGAGTAGACACACACGACTCAAATGACACAGTGCTCTCAGTTGTAAACAGAAATTAAGAAAACGTATATATCTTAAAGTATTCGATTAGTGATCAATTGTGGTGCATTTAAGGGACAAGTTTACTGCAGCGCTGTCACCAAAATGTCGGTGCACGCCACTGATACCACAACTCCAAAAAAGTTCTCAGGGTTTTTTTTAACTCCACACAGAAGGTTAGACACTCATTCATCTTCCACATGTGCGTCTCTCACCAGATGGCGATGCGCTCCTTCGGGTACTCCAGCCTCTCGATACAGCCCAGGTAGTGCGGCAGGCTGTGAGCCGCGTTTCGAGCCACGACGGCGATCATAACCTTTGGCTTGAGCCGGGATGACTCGGATCCGCGACCGCCCGCATCATTGCTGCCACGATGTCGCCGTGATTGTTCCGATACTGCACGGTCCCGGAGTGCGGAGAGTGAGAGACTGCGGGTCATAGAGGAGCAGAGGTAGGTAGGGGGGAGGGACTGGGAGGAGGGGAGAGGAAGGAAAGGAAGAAGGTATAAGAAGGGGGAGAGGTTGTGAATGGTGGGCTTCCTACCCCTCCTCCTCTGCCGCTGGCCCCTGCTGGTCCTCTTCGAGTCTGTGCTGTGTTTGCGGCACCAGCTGAACCTTCTGCTGGTTTACTGTTAAAAAACAAAATCAGATGGAGATCATTTTCTGGACTAATTGGGACGTTTATATCAATTCTTTAAAAAAAATTTCGGGCCGACACCCCTGGACCTTTAGAGGGATTTGGGATGTCTGTGAATTTGACAGAGATGTCCGATATTATCGGCCGACCGATATTAACACATTGTGTAATATCTGTAAGAATGTTATTGGTATTGCCTGGGTTTCGCCGAATGATGTGTGCCCTAAGAATAATTTTAGGGGATTAAAGCTGTATATTAAAGTGAAAGTCACTAGATGGCAGCATTGCAGCTCATTTAATTAATCTCATACAGTGGTTTGTACAGATAAGCAAATAAATATTACCAGGCCTATATCGGTAACTGTTGATATCAGAAATGAGCAAAAAGTAAATATCTGACATCCTTAAAAATAAGTTATGTCCAGAAAATATAAAGATAAAGTCTCACTCCCTGTCTCCATTTTAGACTGTACAGTCCATCAAGGTAGAGTTTTGACATTACACGGGCAGAGACATAAATCCCCAGTAAGGTGATTAGACCTCTCCTGTGCTGCCGTTCGTTGATAAATTGAGCTAGACGGCTAGGAATATACTGTGTAGAGATGCAAAAACATCATTCATTCATTTCTGTTTTTTTTTAATTATTATTTGTTCCTGTTAAAGTGTGTCCCCTTTACAGCCTGTAGTCTGTGAGCCATTCTTCCCCTTCTTCTTCCTGAATATATAGTCTTTTAAATTTTTCCATTTCTGTTTCAATGACGCCTCTTCAATGCTGAAGGGATGCAGACCATGTTGTCACCAGGCAGTGGTGCCAAGAGCTGCAAGAGTGTCTTAAAACACAGTGGAAGGTCTTCATGAAACTAAATAATCTTTAAAGACATAATACCATCGGGTCAAAACAAATCACTGTTTAGACTAGCAAGAGTGCTAATGCTAATGGTTGCTGCAGTTTTGTTTTGTTTTTTTGAGGCCATTTCTTTTCCAATACCTGAGGGAGCTGGTGTGCTTAAAGCTGAGAAACTCCAGATACTTGAACGTCAGTGTCCTGCTTCTTACTGAACACCAGGATCCTCCAGAGATTCTTCTGTTAGAAAGGTAGATAAAAAGTTACATTTTAGATTATCTGGTTCGGACTTCAGGAGTTAAACATTTTGAGAATCATGCCAGCTTAGTGCCTGACTGAGAAACTAAACCAATCCGTCTTATACAAACACGCACAACCACAAAGTCAGAAGTGTCCTGTATTTTCAGGACACTGAAAATGCTGCAGCCAGGTGTCTTTTCTTTACCAGCGTTCACCTACTGCTTGTTCTACCATTACACAGTTTGCTTCATGATTACAGTAACCCGGCTGTAACCTTTTTTTAATTATAGCTGTGGGACAGACGTGCAGTCAGACAGAGTAAAGACTGTTAAAGCCAATTGACTTGCTGCTTGTCTCGGCTCAGCTCTGTTTATTTAAGAAAGGATCTTCGCTACCTGGTAATGTTTTCCCTCTTCTCTGAGGTAATTAGTATTTGTTGCCATACTCACTGCTGTTGGATGCTCTTAGTCACAGCAGAGACGGGAGGGAACAGGGGAGAGGGATGTTTTCATTCTGTTCCACCTTGGCGCCCTCTAGCGCTGTTTTTGCGAAAAACACACTGTGGACGTCAGCATAAAACCATTGCTCGAGTTGCCACACGTGGGTCTTCAATTGGCTCTCTGTTAGTGTCTCGAGTCTGAATGGACCAAATTCAGCTGGGCTGTGCTTTAAAAACAAACATTCACGGTAATTACATCCAAAAAAGTGTCATATATTAAACAGATGGCAGAAACCTAGCTGTTAGTGATTGGCAGATACTGTGTAGAGGAGAGTTGTGATTTGTTTTTTCTAATTAAACATCTAATACTACATTTCAGTTCGCTTATTAACAACAAATCAACATAACGTCACTGCTGTAACTCAAAATAACTTTGTTTTGGTCGGTTTAACAAGTAAAAAAACAACAAGCCTGAAGCCTAGTGGTGTGACGATGAGGCTTGTTATCAGAGAGCTGAGGTTCCAACCACACTCACCCAACAATTCCCTTTCCCCCCAGGTGCCGCCAATGGCTGATGGGTGAATTGCAGAGGAGAAATGTTGTTGTTGTTGTTTTGAGTGTGTGTGTGTGTGTAATGACAATAAATTGTTGTTCTCCGGAATTCTGTAATGACTACAATATTAATATAATTTTTTTAAAAAAATTGGTCCACACAGTGGTAAAAGTGTACCGCTTGTTGCCTTACTTTTTTTTTTAATATAGCCGTTGTCAAACATACGGCCTGCAGACCAAAATTGGCCCACTTGGGGTTTCAATCCGGGCTGCTTGGTGATTTTTGAAAATAAAATTATACACTAACACTTCATGCCCCCCGTGAATTGAAATACTATTGATAACCTGATAACATGTATATTGTTATCTGTACAAACCACTGTATGAGTTGCTGCCACCTAGTGACTGGAGGCTTGTTATCATTTAAGCATTACAGCAGTGGTACACTTATGTCCTGCGTGCCATATTCCATTGCAAGCCCATCACGCCCCCACATGGCATCTCACCATGGCCCTTCGGGGGGCCCCGCCCCACTATTTGATAAGTACTGGTTGAGATCATAGTGCCTAGTTCAGAGCCACATACAATTCTGGCACCATTATCTGATCAGTATCTGAACTGTAAATGCACATGCAGTAGTAGTCCAATAATAACAAAGAAGACTAAATTTTCTGTTGAGATTAAAAAAAAAAAACACAGACATTAACATTATTCCCATGGTTCGGGAACGCCTTCTTCTTTCCACTTTGTAATTGTGGTTGCGCTGTGGACATGCACTCATTTGTCTCTGTAACTCAGCCCTGGATGAGAGCAACAGTAGAACTGTACCATTTGTTTTATTTATGTCTGAGATAAATGTATGTTTTGAGAGCTGCCACGCATTTTTTCTGACTCTGGTTTTACATACGTACATAAACAGATACTACAGGTTTGAACCTCGAGGCTATCATCATTTGTAAGAAGAGTCGATGAATAGAAAAATCCAGCGGTAACGTGCATCGCAAACTGTATTTTGCTCAACGGTTTTAAGGAAAAGGAAGGAAAGTGAACTACTTGTGACACAGCACACCACTGCACACAACCAAATGTGACCTCTGCTTTTAACCAATCACCAAAGTGAACAGTGGGCAGCTTTAAGCTGGGGAGCAGTGAGTGGGGACGGTGCCATGCTCAGAGCACCTCAGTGGAAACTTGGCAGCTAGGGGACTCGAACCTTCCAGATCCAAGTCCGCTTCCTTAACCACTAAACCACCACTGCCCGTGCATATATAACAATAAACCATTTTCACAATAGCAATTACACATTCATTCAAATAGCCGTCTGGGGCCACCCATTCACTGTGAGGTCATACAGTATGATCTCAGGCTCCTGAATGAAATACACAATACTCATTCACCGATGTGCAGCATCGCATGCCACTCTTGGTTGAAGATAACAATTTTCTGTGGTTAAAGCACAGTCAATGACCTGTGGTTACGCTTAAGGGCACAGTTAAGGTTATAGTTATGGATAAGAAAGAAAATGCGGCATTTTCACCATACCTTCGACTTCATAATTTAAAAAAAGTACTATGTTTCTGAACAGACGTGAGCAGTAATGAATGGACTGAGTTGAAACGGAACTGTTTGCATGGGTTTTTTTTCTTTTTATGCAAGTGCTTGATATGCTTGAGAAATAAAAAAGACGTTAAAATTGTAAGTTTAGGACGGAATACAGTCAAGAAATATCATGAATAAAATAAGAAAAACATGAACTGACCTGATTTTTCTTCAAGATGAGCGGCTCTTCTGCAGTTCTGTTGCCTTTTCTTGCATCACCACAAACTTTAAGATCTGAAACATTTTAAAGGGGTGACAAATAAAAGCTGTGCTGTATTTTAATAAAATGTAACAGACAAACAAATAAAAGCTGTATTTTAATAAAATGTAACAGACAACAACCAATGTGCATTCCTTATTACAGGACAGGCTTTTGAATGACGACATATGACTGCACATAATACTAGAAGCCTTGAATACCAATATTACGTCTGGAAAGGTTATACAAACAACCAGCAGGTGGTGCTAGTGTTTTATTTTGAAAGCTCCTGTCACATTTTCCAGCCCTCGTGTACACTCAGCTGCAGAAAGCGTAATGTTGAAACCGTCCCATCCTTGTCAGTTGGTTGAGATCATTGAAATGGTTTATATCTAAACAAATCCAGCTCCTGTTTCCACTCTTTTCTCCAGACTCCGACTGATTGTTTTACTAACACGGTATTAACTGACTAAGACGTGACACTAACAACCATAGAGCCAACAGGTATTTGTTCTCAGCTCTTCCGTTGTTTGACATTTTGGTAGTATTTCCAGGGAATAAATGTATGTTTACTCTCAACAATGATGTTATTAAAAGTACGGTTTTTAATAAAAACATATGGTAAAAAGGAAACAACAGGGCCTTAATTTGAGCCTTGAGGGACACCCCAGGAGACTGACATTTGCTTAAGGCTTTCACCTAATGGCTAACATCCAATCTAACATTTAAGCCAGATAAACGGATAAAACCCACCAATAGTAATGACATGTCAACACGTTTGTGATTGTCCATGCTAAGCTGAGGACCTCCTTTTAAACATTTGTAGATGGTCCCTCTCAGAATTTAATGATTGTATAGAACTATTATATTACTATATTAATATTTCAATTCTGTTATATCTAATTTCAGGTTACATGTTGATAAATGTTTGGAAAATGTATTTTGTGACATGTCGTAGGCTGTTTTTTTTGGGCGGGGGGGCGTTTAAGGTTGCAGGTTCCTAGCCACATGAGACTCCTATAGAAGCATTACCAGCAGTTTCCGTGTAGGAACACTCACAGTTTCTGGTATTCCTCCTGCTGTGGTCAGTGTCTGGATGGTAAACATGTTGTGTTGAAGCCCCCTGCCCCCAACTCTGGATCAGAGTTTTTTTAATTACAAGGGAACCCGAACCAATTGTTCTCCTGGCAGTTGTCGATCCCAATTACCGTTTCCGAGTAATTGACGTCAGGGGCTGTGGGAGAACAAGTGATGTTGATCTTACCTGCTGACCAGTCTTTACCAGCAGCTGAGCACCGAGGACCTCTGCCTGATTGTGTTGTTGATGAAGCTTTTCCACATTACAGAAAGGCCATGAGGTCATTCCCTGGATCATCCTCCCCAGAGATAGGAGGATTTTCAATTACTATCTGTCCCGGGGCTGGTTGTTGGTGCAAAATGTCTTTGCCATCCTGGCACCTCAGTGAAGGATGGACCATCGAGGTTCATCCAGAAGTGACGGAGAAGGGTGTGAAGGAGAGCCAGATACCTAGAGTTGGAGGAGTGCTGTATTAATGAATATCGGTTACTCTAAATGTAGCATCAATTCATACCATACCATCCTACCTGATGCACCATTTTAAAAACTGTCTAGTCAACAGAATTTATGTGAAAGAATGGCATAAGAGTAGCCCATAAGATATATGGGTTTATATAAAAATAGAATATAAAAATTATAAAAAAATAGAAATATAATAAAACATAACATAAACAACATAAACACAATAAATTCAAACAAATTCCGATATGCAGTTATCTCACCCAAATTGAAATACTATTGAGCGCCTGGTAACATTTATTTATATATCTGCTGACACCAGCATTCTGAATATAATCCCGATTATCAATATAGATTGATAAAATGAGCCGCAATGCTGCCATCTAGTGACTAGAGGCTTGTTTAGCGTTCATAATGTTCTGTTCATGTGTTATAAAGGAGTTAACAGTTAAGTGTAAGTGGTTATTGCAGATGTTACATAACTATGCTAACATTGGCAGACCAATAATATCGGCCGATATTAGCATAATTGGACATCCCTAAGCTCAAAAAACAAAATCAACAGCCTGATCCGTTCCCAGGAAAGGCTATCACCTCAGCTACTCCACGACCACCATATCTAAATTAGCTACTGTCGTATCATCCATTCATCCATCCATCCATTATCATATGCTTATCTGTCACCGGGTCGCGTCGTATCATTATTATAGTATTATTTTTTGTATTTGCAATTTCACATATTCCCTTTGTGGGGTTGGCAGCCTATGGAGGGAAGGAGCCAGGTCTAAGAGGAACTTCTCCTCTTCGATTCACGGAGGGGGCGAGGCAGGTGGGCACCGCAGCCTCTGAATGAGGAGGTCCTCTATTGGCCTCTCCCTGTGAGTTCTTTCTCGCTCCCAGTCGTCCATCTCATGCTCTCTCTTCCTCTTCCCTCTCAGTGCACCTGTATAAAAAAGCGACATCACAACATTCAGTCAGTGATAGTCTGTGACAGTACACACAATCCACATTTTGTACAAAACATACCACTGACTGAAGCAGCAGCAGGAGAAGCAGCAGCAGCAACAGGTGCAGCTGGTGCAGCAGCAGGAGCAGCAGCAGGAGCAGCAGCAGGAGATGTGCCCTCACTGTCACTCTGGGATTGGTCCAAAGGTAGAAAACAGTCGTCATGCAAATACAGTAGTTTTAACCAATACATAATTTGTAATATAATGGCAACATATGAAACAGAAACAATACACACAATAACAAACATGTCTACTAAGTTTTAAACTGTTTTTACACGTACTGTGAAACACAAACAAACATGTCTACTAAGTTTTTAAACTGTTTTTACACGTACTGTGATATTAATATGACAGCTGTGTCTTTTTTTTTTACCGTCATAAGCCCCTGCTACTTCAGTATTCTCTACGGTCCTACAGCTGTGTCTTTTATACCGTGATAAGCTCCTGCTACTTCATTATTCTCTGCGGTCCAGTCTCCAGTCTCCCTCGAACCCCCGACCCATGGTGCTACAGGAAAGTCAGGAACGCAGAGAATCTCCTTCCTTTTTTCTCTTTCAAGCAGGTGTCCCGCTGACTCTTCCGTTTTCTACAACACAGCTCAACTGCAAACACACGTACATACAGACAGACACACACTTTGCAAAATTAGCATTGGAAAATCTGCTATGCCATCAGACGCTGACGTTAACGACGTCAACGTGGTAAAACAACTCACATATAGTGTCACAACCTACCAGAGAGCGCCACCTCCTGGCTAACTTTAGCCCACGCCTCTTCTTTCTTATTTCGGAACCGGTAAAACATGGCGTCGGTGTCATACAGGACCAGGTGTACACACACACGGCGTTTATAAGTTTTTCCTCCATTTTTGTTTTCAGTGAGATGACGTCGGGATAACGTCGTCACTGATTGGATGTCGCGGCGATTAATTTTTGCCATCTTCATTTGCGTTGGTGATGGGAATGGCTCGGCTCTTTCGGCTCCACAGATTGAATAATAAAAAATAATACAAAAATAAATAAATATATAAATATAAAAAGAAAATAATGAATTAAATTCTACATGGCGTCACAGGGTCAGAACTGGAGCCTATCCCAAAACAAGCAAGGATGGAGAACACTAGCATAACGGCACAAGTTTACTGAGCTTAGTCTCAAATAAACACACAAATACACGAACTGTACATATATATATATAGTATATAAAGACAACATCCAACTTTAGAACTTCTTTGTTTTTATTTTTAATAGAAAAACGTATTCAAAATAATAAAACAGGAAGAATCCAGTATACTGAAGATGGCATTTTAAAAAGTGATCAGTTCTGTTTCAATACTCTTCCTCATCTTTGCTGCATCGGTGCCCTCGTATGTCTTTGCCAGTATGTTTGTAAGTGCAAAAAAAAGAAAGAGAAAAAAAAACTTAAACAATGTGAAAAAACGTATTTAGTGCTCATGTCTTGTTTACGGATAAATTAAAAATGTGAATGGTGTGTGTGAGTCGTTTTCCCGATGTAAGTCTGACTGCACGCTACTGTAATGTATATGTATTAAAAGACCTCATGTACTTGTGCAGCAGCATGTGTACGTATATAGATGTGGGCAGAATGGGTTGAGACACAGCCTAAACCTGTCTGCTGTGGTGCTGAAGAGATAATATGACAAAAAAAAAAAAAAAAAAATAGTGTCCACAAACAAACGAAGGAATAGAAAATTAAAGGTGAACAATTTCTTGCAGAACAAAAAAATAAAAATAACTACAGTGTCTTTGCCCTCAGTAGGCGGGAGGAGTTTGACATTTTCTAAGTTACCACCTGGCTTCTATTCATTTATTAAAATATCTCACACTTTTCCCAGTTTCTCTGTTCGGCCTCACTCACCCATTTCTCTTAGTGCTTTTTACGGCTCTGGTTATACATAAGCGAGACAAAAGTTGTACATGGATCCAGGCGAAGTATTGTAAATCATACGCCTTCAGCATCTTCTTCACCCCCAGGCTCTTTGTTTTCTCTCTGTTCTGTCCCACTTTGTTTGCCCTCGTGGTCTTTCCCACAAACAACGTCCATAGTTTGGCCTTCTTTATCCATTTCAAATATTTAGAACCGGGCAATGAAAGACAAGGATGACAGGTAAGGAGGTACGCATGTACGTAGAGCGGTTGTCTGATCTGTCAGACGATGTGTTCATCTCTTTGCTCCTTCGGCCTTGTCAGAAGCAGAAACGAAGTGCGTACAGAGAAGGGCTGGAGTCTCAAAAGAACAATTTCTTTATCCCATTCTCTCTCTCTCTCTCTCTCTTCTCTCGCCTATGAATTCTCACACTTTTACCTGTGATGGATATACTATATTTGCCATATCATAAAACATACACCTCCATGTCCAGGCATCACACAATCTGGTACAACACTGATTTAGTGTCCTCTCACTCTTTCATACACACATGCACACACTCAGGCACACAGTGAGGCTCTCTGATGTGGTGAACTCCGGGGGACCTCTTTGCTATGTCCCTTCCTCCTCCCCCTCCTCCTCCTCCTCTGAACAGTAGTCTCGCCCCTGCAGAAAAATATGACAAGATTTATTTATCATCTTTAAACTTACTTGCTTTCAAATTCCCCATTTAAAGTTCCTTGTGAAATAGATCTGGATGATAATGTAGTGGCTTTGGTTCTATAGTGATCTCCATAAAATTATGTCAAATTCATTAATTCACAATTCCACCAGGGGGTGATGCTCTCTCCTTCAGTTTGTCTAAAAGTGTCCATCATTAATCATTTAAAAAAAAAAAACACTGAAGCAGATTGTTACCTAATCTTTTGGGTACTCACATATTCACGTATTACTTCTCATTTTAAAGTAAAAACCACTACATTGTACAAGCATATTCAACGGAAATAAACGGCAAAAAGGATAAATAAATGAATAAATAAATAAATAAATAATAATAATGCAATTTTTTTTCCGCAGAATATGTGAAATGATTACATTTCTTTCTCTTTTTTTTAACGGCTATGTGTTTATCATAAAGCAGAATCATTAGGAGGATTAACAGGTAACTCATTCTGAGATTGACGCCCTGGAGGAAATGTTTTTTTGTTTTTTCAAAATAAAAGACCTGGAAGAATAATTAAAACAAAACAGTCTTAAACTATTTAATTAATTCTTCGCCCCTGTTGCCTAATAATCCACGACTCGCTTCCGGTCTGGGTCCCGTGTTTTAGGGAGCAGGAATTTTCAGTACCTTTTTAACACAACAACGATTTGGAAATGTGATATTTTAGTAACAATCCTCATCGCAGTCTGGGTGAGACACTGAATAGACTGTGGACTATGAATAAATATGAGTTTATTGGTTCCAAAGAACGTTAATAAAAACCTATTTATTGTAGCATTATACGTAGATACTAAATACGACGTCATATTTTTTCCATTCTTTTTAGGCTAATGAAAATGAAGAAATATGAAGGTGTAACGGTTGCAACCAAAGTGGAAATTAGAGCAACATTTATAATTTTCAAAACTATTTTATTAATGATAAAAGCAGACTATACATGTTCAGAACATTACCTCCTTACCCTGAAAATATTTTTGTAAATTGAGCTTTTTGGTAAATTAAATATCTACATCTTTTAAGTGTATAAAAAATAAAAAAATTAAAAAAAGGCTTACAATATACACATCATTTTACACTTTTTTTTTTTCACCTTCTCAATCTTCTCATCCAGCATCCTAAAAAACTCCTGCTGGCTCTCCGACGAGTGAATACTGAGAGAGAGAAAGAACAAAATGGGAAGGAAGGGAGACAGGATGGGGGAGGTGGTGGAGAGAGGAAGTTTGAGGATGTGGAGGGAGTAGGAAGAGAAAGCGAGGGAGGCAAGAAATACATCATGAGAATTTTCCATTACACCCCCCCCACAGTGTACATAAACACACGCACACACACACACACACTCAAACACACAGAGTCAGAGGCCATCCACAAGACACAAACTTACAAAAACCAGACACAAATCACACGTGTCAAGCGAATTTTAAGCTAACGTCTTTGGTAACAAAATAAAAATTCGATGTATTTGAAGAATTTAAAATTCACGTACGGTTGGTTAGTCAATAGATATCACATCAAACGTCAATCATTAGAAGCCCAATCATTTTTGAATGCATATTATGTATTCATGCGTTTAGGGATCTAACCCTCGTCACATTCTACAATTGAACAAATCGAGAACAAATAGAACATTTGTGCTAAAAGAAAATAAAAACTATGTTGTAATTTAGTAAGTTAGTTATTATGGTAAACCTGTATCAGTACTTCTCAAATAGTGGGGTGGACCCCCTAGGGGGCGCAATGAGGTGCAGAGGGGGCGTGAGGGGCTTTCCAATGGAATATTGCTGGACATAAGTGTACAACTGCTGTAATGCTTGAATGATAAGCCTCCAGTCACTAGGTGGCAGCAACTCATATAGTGGTTTGTACAGATAAAAATATACACGTTCAATGAATAACATTTGAAGACTCCAGATTGAATGGTTGGGTGGGGTCTGTGTCTTCATAGTCACTTTATTGCTAAAGTAATGTCATGATTTTATGATTTGAGTTATCTTAAAATTTAAATATAAATTGACCTTCAACATTCTCACAAAGCAGCACATTAAAATTAAAAGGTATTATGTTGAAATGTTATATTAATTTGACATTGACACGGTGCGTCGTGGTACTTTACTGAATGTAGTTTTCTTAGAGAAGCATTCAGGGACAGGAGACAAATGCAAAAAACAAAAAAAAACAAAAAAAAAAAAAGCAGAGAGACACTTACTTTGACTTGATGTTTGATGAAGTGACATCTTTCTGCAGTTTGCCTTTGTACTGTACATTACTTTTCTCCTGGAACACACAGGTTTGTAATCTTTTAAAATGAAACAATCTATATCAGCAACAGAGCCACGCTCACGGTTAACACCTTGAGGTTCTCTATATTCAATTATTTCTCCCCCAACCAGCTGGCACCGCACGGTAGTCAAGAAACATTGGCGACATAATGTGGTTTAGAGACAGTGACTCAGCTGGAGGTGGCAGAGATGACGACGTGTTGAGAGACAGGGAATACGTCAGACAAAGGATGTCGGAGATGGAGCTGCCAGGTAAGAGGAGAAGAGGAAGAGGCAGAGGATAGGGTGGAGAGGAGGCAGACGACTGGCTGTGGTGACCCCTGAAGTGAGCAGCCAAATGAGGATGTTTTAACTCGATTTAGCAGTGGAACAATTCTATTGCTTAAACAGTAAAGTCGCTGACGTTATCTATTGAACTAAACAAAAACCAATCATTAGCTAGACTTTCTTTCCGAGCATGGGTTATGAGATATTTGGACATTGTATATTTGGACTTGTTGATATACACACACACATAAATGTATATATGTATATATATAAATATATATACATATATAGGTACAGTATATATGACTATATGTTCTGTCCTTGATATACACACACCCACATATATATACATATATAGATATATATGTATATATATGTATATATATATATATATAGGTATATATATATTTATATATATATATAGGTATATATATATTTATATATATATATAGGTATATAGGACTATATGTTCTGTCCTTTATTTTGTGTTTATTATGTGTATATACCTGCCAATTTGAATGTCTTAAATCTGTTCGACTGGGTAAGACTTAGGTAAAAAAAAAAATATATATATTTTTCAACCACTTCAACATGATTTCCATGTAGAAAAACTTAATTTATTTCTGTTGAAAAGATAAGCTTGCCCTCTCTCAGTTTGCCCTTCATTGGAGGTCATCGCTGCAGTAGTGCGCATAGTTATTTGGCAGCGCTTTTAAATTGGATACCCTCCCTGACACAGCCCAAATTGGGAATGGGAACCTAATGGACTTGGACTGAACCTTCAGCCAGCCAGGCGGGAATCCTCTCATTTGAAAAGTAAACTTAACTCGTAACGTAAACAATCTGAGGCCAATGTCAAAAATATTTGTTTAAATAGAAACTGATCTTGCTTCGTACTACACTGTCACATGCAACTCCTTTACGTCATTATGAGTATTTGGCATTAGCATCTGGTGCACTGTGAAGGATACAGCACTGAAGCTATGACTCAGGTCACAGCCAACGACATCATGGGCTCTGGCTGCATTTGTGAATTTGACTTCATAATCACACGACAATGGATGGTAGGGGGCGCTCTTTCTAATCCCAACGTTGTCTCCATAGTTTCCCCACCATTTTTTGCCAGTTCATCTTTCTCGATTATGTTAAACAACTAGCGCAGGCATGGGTAAACTAAGGTCTGGGGGCCAGATGCGGTCCATTCAGCTTCCTAATCTGGATCGCCAAAACGTTTTCAAATTATATAATTAATATATATTATCATTATACTTCTGCTTTTTCCCTATAATACCAATGTTTTCCCAATAGATGGCGTCAAAAATGATAAAAGCATTTTAGCCTTTATGCATGACTTTTACATGTCATTTATCTTAGTTCACACGAACACTCTACCTTTCTGCTCCTGACCCGGCCCCCCGTTCAATTTTAGGACAATTGTTGCCCGTGCCTGAACTAGCGTTCTCTCTTGTGTTATCCTCCCCTCGACCCTTTCCTCTGTGTTCTTGGACTTTGAATCAAGTCAGTGATCAATTTCCAACCAATGATTTAAATGTCTGGATTACTGGTTTATCCGTCTGCCTTTGCCTTAACTGGTTCTTATGCACACATTAAAAGACTTCAAATTATATGGTCATCCTTTGTAATGTTCTAACACAGTGGTTCTCAAACTTTTTCTACTCTGTACCACCTGAGAAAACATGGAGCTCTCTGAGTACCACCATGATGACCAACGTTAGAATATAGCAGCATAGGCCTTCACTGTTAGCTTCCACCACACAGGAGAGATGTTTAGAAAGATGTTTATGTTTAAATGTTGTATTAATTGTGCATGGTATCGTTCACATTTATTCAATTGAAAGTGTAAATGTGAAAATATGAATTTTCCCCGCGTACCACTAGAGAGCGCTTGCGTACCACTGATGGTACACGTACCCCAATTTGAGAACCACTGTTCTAACAAACAACCAGTATTTGTAGTATTTGTAGGCTGCATTCAAACATTCACAGTGACAAACAACCGTTTAGTTTTTGTAGGCTGCATTCAAACATTCACAGCAACACCACGTATGTTAGCACACCTCAGCTATACGTGCGTTGTAAATCATCTTCATCTGTGTTTTCGTACGTGCGCAAAACAACATGACGTGTGCGTAGGACGGCGACCCTTCAAATAGATGAACTATGACTACGAACAGCGGGCTGTCAGCCGCTGTTGCTCATCTGTGGATTTATAGTCGTCTTACCAGGTTCTCCTGGTTGCGTGCGTTCACTCGATTTTCCTCTCCCCTCATGTACTTCACCTCCTCCACTCCTTTCAGCTTGTACTCATCTGAGGAGAAAGCGAGGGTGGTGAGACGGTAAGGAATGAGTGTGATGAACAGCACAGATTTAACAGAGACGTAACAAATAAATGTACAACGTATATTTATGAATCATAAATCCCACCGGTCAATGCGAAACGTGAAAGGCTGGAAAAAGACAATCCATGTCCCCGTCATCCCCCTTTCTGTACAATCCCTGCTTTACTTCAACCAAGACCACTGTTCTGTTATTGATTCCAGTTCTAATTTGTCTCCTCTAACCGAATTACTAAGAGCTGACACAGTGTTTTAGAAAGCGTGAATGGCAGCTGTGGTAGGAAGAGGAGGAGGGGGATTCACTTTTTTTTCTTCCATTTTATCTACAGCAACAACACATCTCAGCAAAAGAGATACAGTAGCAAGAGAAGAGAGACATAGTGTTACTATGACATAGTCTTACTACCCACAATGCAGCAGTGTTATATTCATCAACAGGACAGAAATGCCAGAAAATACCACCTTAAATGCATCAATGAAACAACAAAAATACCATATTTGGTAAAATCCTTTGTGACACTTTTAGGTGAGAAAAACAACACACAAAAACACACAAACTGATGTTGAGTCTAGGTTAAGGATTGACCGCTTTATAAACAGCAATGATTCAAAGTTCATTTTAAAAAAGTATTTATTGTATTTATTTATTAAACCTTTATTTAAAGAGTGCTGAAATTATTTTTTGAATTTTTTGAGTGAACAATTCCAGACTAAACTCCAGACTCCCTTAGTGGTAGAGTAGTTAGAGTACTCTTAGAGTTTCAAACTTTCCCTGTTTCTTCCCTCAGTCAAGCAGAAGGGAATTAGGTTATTTGAAGACTCTAAATTAACCATAGGCATGAGTGTAAGTGCAATGGGTTGCTTGTCTCTATAGGTGGCACTATTGTGGACTGGTTCTCCGTCCTGGGGTTTCCTGCCTTCACCCAATCACTACTAGGATTGGTGATTTTGAAAAGCATGACGAATGAGACGCCATTTTCAGACATTTAAAACGATTAATATTAGCGTAGATACAGTTGAGAAAAAAATCTTAGTCAACTCTGGAAAAATGTCCGCTTTGGAAATGTTCGAAAGTTGTTGGTTTGTTTTTTTTACATTTTCAACAGATCACATTCCATATTTTAGCTCAATCTCATAAAATATAATACAATATATAAAATATAGTTTCATTTCTATCTTCACGATTCACTTTCTCCGTGAGACACCTGTTTAGTGAAACACAACCCTGATATTCTTGCAGGAATTGAAGAAAGATAAACGACAAAAGTATTTCATTGTTTTTTTCCTGACACTGTCACCTTGACAAACACAGATACATTATTTGCAGTGAATAAATAAAATATTTTTCAGACTAAATAATGTAAATTGGATTATTTCCCATGGTGCACCTGATGATCTCTCACAGCTCACTAATGTGTGGTGTTAAGTTTCCAAATATGACACGGGCTGTTGACATGACTGAAGACATATCATCAAGATAGTGTTTCTTTAGCCAAAACCACAATATTAATATTTTATATAGCAAGTATTTCCAAAATATAAACCTGAGTTTCTAACGTTTCTATTGGTTTATACTACGGCAGTTACCTGAAGAGGTTTAAACTCCGACTTGTTTACTACCGCTCTCTGTTTACTACCCAAACTATGATGTTTTACTTCAAAATATTTTAGCATGCAGGAGCCAGTGACTACTGAGTACTATTAGTTTTACAGCATTTTGTTTTGCCCTTTGTCGCCGTGAAAATGATAGAGACATTTTCTTTGCCTTTTGTCGCCGTGAAAATGATAGAGACATTTGACGAAGGGACAGAAATGTTTAGGTAAACGTGTTTACAGATTGATGTAAAAGACTTGAAGGGAGCTCTGATTGGTCAAACCCCACTGACACAGAGCAACATTGTGTAAGTCTGAACCACACCTCTGCAGTACAATGCTTTACTACCTGACTGGCCATTTTACTGATATGCTGCTGCAGCTGTGCTATGCTGCGATATGTACTGCCAACCCCTCGACCTTATCCGTTGCCTACTTTGTATTTTTCTACTCATACAATAACCAACGGTTTATAGCACAGCAATTTCAGCCAGCAAAAGGTTCACCCCGGCCTCCGTTCTCTTCCTCACTATGCAGTATTCGAGTAGATTTATTTTCTCTCAACTTTAGGTTTATGCTGCAGATTGAGAATCATTTCAGAAAACACCTCAGGAGTGAAACTGGAACAACGACGGAGGGAGGACAAAGAAATACCGGCTAGTTTTCGGTTGTTTGTCTCAGGAATGTAAACGAGTCGGAGCAGAGTGGCTCCTGTCTGAACATGCTGACAGCCACGCGGGCCAACGATGTGTGCGCACATCGCTTTCCTTTCGTTAACATTACACAGACTCGCCGAGCTCCATTCGGCTCGGTAAACATACAGCACATACGGTGTGTTAGTAGAAGACATCATTCAGCGCTACTTCCTCTGCGCGTTACAGGAGCCGACCTGTTCACATGCTCACTAGCTACCCGTCCTGTAGCTGGAGATTGAAAGTGAATAATGACGAAGATGGTGGTTAAGTAACTCCTGTTGGCTCCTATGTAAATAAAAGGAGAGAATTTATAAACAGGGTGACGTAAAGCCTCTGCAGACTGGATGTTCTGGTCCTGGTACAGACACAGTCAGTGTGCAAAATATTGAAGGTTTACAGTGACTCAGCTTTTTCAATTAAAACTTGTCTTATTACCGACGCTGCTTCAGTGGTTAAATGAAGTCATGATGTGCAAAAGTCGCACATTTATCCAAAGCGACTTACAAGAGAAGGATTGACAATCAAGCATGTAGTTCCTCTGGGAATCTAACTCTGCTCTCGAGGCAGGCACGCTAACCGCTGCACTATGGAACCGCACAATTTGTAGCACAACAAAGCTTTCTTAGAATTCTGAAAAAGAGAAGGACCTTGAGCAAAGGCAAGCGGGCAGAAATACAGGTGATAAGGGAGAGTTGTTCGAAGAAACCACGATGTTGGGATGTGGGCATGTGTTTGTTTTTTTTTATTAGAGGGTGTTTTTGACTTACACATATACAGATGACACGCTGACAACAGGTGCATGGCAGTTGGGGTAAGACATTAAAATGATTAAAACTGTCCTTAAAGTCGAACACTACGCTCTCTTTATGCCAATCTGGATATGTACCTTAGGGGGAAATTTCCAATATTTTCATCTATTTTCAATACCAGAAAATATGTCTGTTGCACAATTCAGATAAAGGTGGTGAATTAATGCAAGTAAAGTAAAATATAAAGAGATTAATGAGTATTTTCACATAATTAAATAAAAAATAATCAATATATATCTGTAAGGTTTCCTGGCATATTGAGCAAAATGTGAATTATTTTTATTATTATTATTATTATTATTATTATTATTATTATTATTATTATTATTATTATTATTATTATATACAGGCTGTCAAACTCCAATCCAATGGTAGCTGTGGATTAATTAATGGTATGAATAATTAATCAATAAATAATTAATATGGAAGAAAGTAAGAAAAAATGTGTCAAGGGCTAACTCAAAACTTTGCGGGTGTTGGTGGATTTTAGTCTGGATTTTTTAATGCAGTACCAGATGTTTCCTCTAAGCCCAACTGACTATCACTGTAGTGTAGTCAATACTGCGCGTGCGGCTTGAGTTCTTGCACATTCAGCAGCAGTTTCCACTTTAGACCACCAACACAAACGTCTCCTTAAATCATGTTTTTTACAATACGATTAACTGTAGATGTTGACTTGAGCAAGCAACAAGTGAAGTGCGTATTCCTGTTTAGTACTCTCAAATCACAACTGCTAAAAGCTAACAGTGGAATTAGCATGGCACACTCTAATCTTCGTGGCTGCAATTATTCCATACAAATCAAGAGCCCGCCGTTGTCAAGAGCGTTGCTATTTTTCCTTTTTGTCCTCCGCCGTTTGTGTAATTAAGCTCAGCCTATTCCGGGTATTGTGCCTGAGAGAGAGTAGAGAGCAGGAGGATGAATTAGAGTAAGTGGCCAGAGTCTAAATGAGTGGGCAAAAAAAAAAAAAAGGTAAGATACACAAAGATACAGAAATGTACACACACATCCACGGTGAAAGT